CGCTCCTTCTCGCCGACACGCCCCTATCAAGTGCAAGGATGACGACTGTACCCTGGCGGTATTTTTCCTCCCATTTTGGGATTGAGTAACTCTTGAGAGCAAGCCTGAGCAAAGTAGGCCGTAGAAGTTAAGACTCCCCCATGTCATCGAGCGGACGTATCACACCTTACCTCACCTCTTATGTGTCTTGTTATCGGTTTATTGATATTTCGTTTTAGCAACGTGATATATCCAAAATGTACGACAAGGAGGCGCCTCAAATACAAATTTCACTTCAAGTGGGTGCTTATGTCCTCGGACAAAAGTTCATCGACAACTAATCATAAAATTCACTTTCAATTTTTTGTGGAAAAATTTCTCATTCCCAGATTCAAATGGTCGCACTTCAATGGCTTGTTGCCAATCAAGAAGCATTTTCAACAAAGCACATCGACAAAAATGTTTTGGAACGACTCATTCGCAACAGCGCCAGGAGGGTGAGTTCAATAGGGTTCGATATTAAAAGAGCTAGGAACTAGAAGAGCGCTGGAAGAATATTCATGGAACGGAAGGGACCCAAGTAAGTTTGCGAGTGAGGGGACCTTACCTGGTAAAACTAGCCTGCATCACTCTGATCGTCTGTGCACTCCAAGCTAAACATATCATCGTTGTTGAACCAGCACCCTAGGATGGAAGGAGAATCGTATTCATTGGCCTGGGGCGGGATGTCGAGCTCGGTTGGGGTTGATAATTGTGAAGTGGGAGGGGTGGGCATATTTTGAAGAGAGTGATAGCTGTCCCACTGGGTGGGCGCAGGCGATTCACTCCCTCTTCCCTCACTGCTGTTGCCACAAACGGTCAGAGCAGATATGCTTTTCAACCTTGAGCTTCAATCCGCTCCAGTGGAGAATTGCTTGGGAGAAAGGATAGAAGGCAAGTTGCTTCCCCACTCGAAGAGGGGAATCGCTACGCAGATCTTCAGTCTCAAACTTTCCCATACTTACAATCGATTGAAGATAAAGTTGATATGAACTAGTTAAACAAAGTCTTCCGGATAAATGGTATTATAATGATGAGAAGTTCCCTAACTACCGTGGTACGTGGCACTTCTGGGCTGAAAAGAATGCATATAGGAGATGCCCTCAGACGAATTTTTGACTAAATTTTTAGACGACGAAATTTTCACTCCAGGTCGACATTTCTGCTTTGATGGCGATGTCCAACAGTGCAGTGAATGTACCAAAAGTCGCGAAACTCTACACAAAAGATGAGATGAGCGATCGATTTATACTGATTCTGGAGGGACGCGTACAAGTGACCATCGGTCAGAGCGGCATGATGTTCGAAGCCGGTCCATGGCATTGTTTTGGCAGTGAAATATTGAAGAAACTTATTCAAGGAGCTGCAACTTTGAGTCGAAGTACTTCAATTGTTGGTGAGTGCTGACTTCCACGTCGGAATACGGTAAGTCACGATGTCGATCCAGTTGATGGTATTTCTTCAGATACCACCGACTTGTCTTGCCGTCGTCCAGATCTGATGTTTAAGCCGGACTTTTCGGTGGTTGTCAAGGAGGACTGCACGTACTTGGACGTGAATGTCGCCGCTTATATCAACGCCTACAAGTCGACGCTAATGCAACGAGAAAGAGGGTGAGTCCCGGAAAGGTTAAGTTTGACTGCTGGCTATGCCGCCGGGTTTGATCTATAACCTTTCTTGTTCGCGTTAATTGATGAAAAATTGTATCGAAATTAATGTATTTGACAATCTAATTCTCCCTAAATGACGCGTTCACTCCCGATTGCCTCGAGAGTCTGCTCAAGAGCAGACAGTATGTCTCAGTTCTGGTAGTCTCAGCTTATGACGCTGCATTCTTGGCTCCGCCACCGCGGGCCCGACTCCGTTTCGAGAGAAGCACCACTAGTAAGTTCGAATTGCCATCATCGGGATGCAACAGCACTCAAATACCCCAAGGGGAAGCGCTACCGATTCTACTATCTAGGAAATGCCTACTTTCTGAGTGTCGCTGCAACGCGAATCTCCTGACCCACATCCCTTTCGAAAACTGCGGATTTAGCTGAGGCTAGTAGATAAGGTGGAGTGACGACACCGTCCTGGCAGAGAATTGCATTGGTGGCAAGACGGTAGCCAAAACTCCTTTGAAGAGCATGGGACTTGAAAAATTACCGAAATTTTCCACAATCACGCTGCACTTCCCAATGCTCGTTTATCCTTTTTATTGAACAACTTTTAATAACTGCCACACTTATTGCGACCAAGGAGGAGGAAACGGCCTCTTGAGTCCGCAAATAATGAAATCCTTTCCACGATACTTCCTTATAGTTAGCCACAGGCAATAAAAACTTTTGACAATACCGAGCATGCCAGGCAAGAAGTAGGCTGCGAAAATTACGTGCATTCAAGTCTCTAGCCAATCGATATATCGATTTTCAGCCGTGATGACATCTCTTACGATGGCCAGTGCTCTTCACGATCACCATCACCAACGAGGCGGAAAGAAACGCTTCCATCTCGGAAGGAGGTGAGAGTCTGTGGTACTTCTTCATTGCCTCCTAGTTTTTCGAATATCGTTTTGATTTTTAGTTCTACCGACTTTTGAACTCATAGAAGATTTCAATAGAGTTGTTCGCTTTCTTCTGGTAGCTCTGTCAAACGTTCCGCTTCCACAATTAAAAAATTTTGCACAGGTGCTGAGTGTGCGGCCAGAAATTTTCTCCTAGCAAAGTCTTGATGCTAAATCAAGTGCTTACTTGGTCTGAAAGCTCAACATCGTATCACTGTCCGGCCGTTTTGTCTCTTACCTTAGCCTCGTGGATGAGTCGTGGCGAATGCCAGAAAGACCAAGGTTCAAGTTCGAGTCCTACTCGGAAAAGAAAAGCAACTGTCCAAAACACTCCAAAGCACTGACAGTCCTTTCGCTCCTTTCTCAGACAAGCTCACATGTCGTCATCTCCGGGGCTGCTCAGCGAGGTAGGGTTGACGAAGTGAGGACAAACTCCAGCTGGATTTAGATCTTTTGCCCATAACTCAGCATTCGGTGATTGCTTTCTCATCTCAAAGTTAACAGCAGTAATCACGGTGTAAGAAACAAGCGGACTTTTTTATCCATTTAGTTCGCTTTTTTTCCAAGTTATGATGTTTCCAGTCTGCCCCAATTCTTGACCCATCGGCACTTCTGGTGCCAGCCAGTGCAAGATCGTCTTTGATAGAGGCGAAGGAAGCCGTGAAACAGCTGAACGCTAGAGGAAACGGTATCGGGCACGAAAATGAGGTCAGCTAACGTCATTTCGTCTTCAACTTCCTATTTTTTTGCTTTGAGTAGTGTCCAGGAAAGAAGTGAAATATTGATTGTTTCAGGAGGAAATGAGTTTGTTACCTATTACGGATCATGCGGATACTGTATAGTACATATGGCATTTATTCGGCCACTTATTTTATACGGGTTATTCAGTTATTTCAATGCTAATACACACAGAATATACACTTTTATCGATTCAGGATTCGCCCCGATTCTCTTTCCCCAAGGGGAAGAGAAGGGCGATCGTATTGTTGATCTCATTGTTAGTTTGTGAACTGTTTCATTTCATTGTCTCATTGTTATTTGAAGAGATTATGTAGTGCCTTGATCTTTGATGAGCGCTCTTAGCCAGCTGATAGTTTCTAGTTTTGATAAGGGCCGCCTTATCACTACGATGGTATAATCTGTATTGTTTTGTGATGTGAACAATTGTCAGATTCAACTGAAACTAAATATTTAAATAAAATTATTTATAACATACTTTTATTCATTCAATAGATCGTCAGAATAGACCTCTATGGAAGAACTCAGGAAGATCGAATTGAGGAACTTTGCTTCAAAAGAGACGGAAGGACGTTATTAGCGACGGGAGGGGGGTGTAAGCGTTCGTCAGCATACTAAATCCTGTGAACTATAAACACTAATACTGGACGACTTTGCCACCACCTGTCAAACACCCTATGAACTGTCAAACTTGCCAGAATGAATGGACAAGATCTGGCAATTAAATAGAGAAATGGCGCGCGAATGCCGCCAAGTAGCAGTTCACCAAGCCTGGCAGGATTTTACAGGATATTTGACAGGAGTTTGTAGAGTGAAACACGATTCTCAAAAGACTTGAGAAAAAAAATGAAGCCCCGACTGAAAAAGCGCACAGGTGTGCCCCTCCCCCATCCCCCGAGATGATTAGCGCCGACGAAATTACCGATCAAAAACAATGGGAAGAAGTGTCGAGAAGCCAGCTTCGGCTCCATCAGCTACCGCAGTAGGCGATGCCAGTTCGGTAGCACCGTATTTGAGTTATGATCACAATTACTGGATCTTGGACGAGAACCGAACCACGATACACAATGACGGAACGAGCAGTGGTTCAACTGACTCCGCCCGACTACCGCGGAATAATTCTTTGAAGCCTCTTAAATAGCACTAAAATAACAGAGGGATACGCTGATATAGTGGAACTTTAGTTCTAAAACAAAAATGGGTGTGTGGGACAGCACAGTGACGTAGCCATCCTAGGCTCGTGGTAATGGGAACTTAAGACACTCAAGCCGATTGAGTTTAATGTTTCATTTAAGTGTGAGGATGAGCTATTTTATAACTTTTCTGATTCCTCTTGCTTTTCCCAAAGTATAAGGGCCAAGGTAACTAACAATCACTTCTGTAAGCTGAGCTAGTGAACCACGTAAATGCAGGTTATTTCGAAATTCAGCTGGGAGAAACGATACCAAAGGTGAGAGAAGTTTATTCGACATATTTCAGAGCCCCGCGCTCGCGGGTTAGGACCTCTTGGAGAACTTGCACGACTCTCCCTCTTTGGAATTCTAGTGCACATCAGGTGCGCCTATGTTTCTCATAGGGCGGTGAAGGGGTAACTTGCACAGCCGCAAATTCCTTTTAGTTCACAAACAAACAATTAGAACAAAGTAGGGTAGAGAAAGAAGGGTACCTTCCATTTATATACAAAATGAACATATACTTTAGCCGTGGAGAATTTATAGCATGGTTCAATCTGTCGAGAGTTTTGTTCCTTGTCTGTTGCCCTGTTCAACAGAAGTGGCACGTCTTTGAGCAGTAATATTCCTTCATTTCATCTGTGTAGAAGGTATTGTTGCAGAAACCGTTGATATTCCATAAAGAGCACCTAGAAAAGGAGATTTTGGAAAACTCAGCGACCAGAGGCACAGTTTCTCCACAACCCGGATGAAGCGTTTGTTTAGGAAAATAAATCAAAATTTGCTTCCATAGGGTGTCGCTGAATATAGTCGGACACAATCGATAATTGCTTGAATTTGCTAGCTAGTTGGATCTACACACTGTATCATGCGCACGTTAAATCCAATAGGTCCTGCCGCGAATGCCGCGCAACTTACGCTACTTGCACCGAGGCGTCCCCACAGCTTGGATCGTCAGACCGAGTCCCGGTCCCAACTGAGCCGTGGTATGTCCTAGGAAAAAAGGGGGAAAAGTGTGCAGATGCCGTCGCCGAAGACCGTGAGTAAGGGGAGAAGGAGGGAAGAGGGTGTACAAAACAAAAGTCAGCACTCTAAATATTTCTCACAAATGTAAGCACGACACCCCTTCGCTGAAATCCACAAAGTACGACAAGTCGTTATCACTGCAGATTACTGCTATCTTCTAGCTGGTTCATCCTCGAAAAGCTTCTCGTAAATACTTGTAAGAAGTTAGCTTCAGTCATGAGATCAAGGAGCCTCCGTCAGAACTTCTGCAGAGACCTTTGCAAGGCTCTGCACAAGTTCTGACTACTTCTACTTTCAAAGAGTTCAGAAGCTAATATCCACTACAATTGTTTTCAATTTCACAACCTGACCTCAGACCTGAAATTGCTCTAGTAAACCCACATTACTCCTCAAGAAGTTTGAACTTACTCGGAAGAAGCATCAAAGCATGGCGCACTTGTCACACTGCATCTACCACACGTCTTTTGACAATGCCTATGAAATTACAGTATCGGTTGTTGAGTCGATTATTGATGAAAGGATAATTGTACTTGTTCAGCAGGTCATCGTAACGCGGATCCGAGCACTGAGCTTTCAGCTTCGCACAGTTCGTATTGGGGTCATCTTCACAGGCGGCGGCTGGAAATGGTGACACTTGAACCAAAGTCGTTACAGTACTGTACTCCTACTTCTTACTGATGATTGGTTTCAGAGCGCATTGAATTATTAAACTTTACTTTGTGAGATATCGATAAATATAAGGCACCGTTAGGGCCTTATCAATGTACATTATAGGCATGTACCTGTAGTTTGTTTTATAGAGGATGATGTGCTTGCCGTGGTAGAGGTGTGGCCTAAAGTGGTGTTCTTGTTGGTGCCCAGGGTAGTGGTCGAGCTCGAGGTGGTGCATACGACTTCTAAATAGAAGATTCAATTAGAACGGAATGAATTTACTGCGCAGACGATTAAAAAGTTACCAAGATAGATGAATATAACTGCAGATAAAAGCCTCATGGAAACAATAGGATGACGAGTCTTGTCAAAAACTGCCTGGGGTTTTATACCCGAGGATCTTATCTACTTAAGGCTCGAAACCCTAAGCCGATAGCGACAAACTGCCGTTGTCAGGTGGTGTTTGGGCGATAGTACAAGGTGAAATCATTCAAGTTATATATAGCACAACCTGCATCCCTTCATCAACTTCCGGAAATCTCCCACAAATAACTTATCCTAGGTTCAAATGAAGTACGCACCTACGCGCGACACGTCTCAGGGAACGTGGAAACTCACCTGAGTGAGCGTTTGTGAATTGCATCGAGTCCATAATTCCGATTACTTCTCATGAAGTCCGTAAGTTCAAAGCCACTTCGAAGTCCCATTCCGCAAATGCAAATGAATACGTATCGGGGTCCCACACATGAACTTGGACATAGGATGAGGTAACATATGGCTTGTATGTAGCAGATAATGGAGCAGAAAAAAATAGAAATACTATCCCCTGCTCGGAAAGGAAGTTGGAGTATAAGATCTAAAATTACGTGACCCAACACAATAGATAGCTTCAAGATATAGCCGAAGAGGTTTTTATGTAGAGGCACAAACATTCAAATAAACTCTGTGTTTTCTACGGTGATTCACTGAGGACACTAACCATGAGGCTGTGTTCACATTTTGAGGCAGCGTCCACCAGCGTCTACCAGCGTTCACCAGCGACCGGGAGAAGAGAGTATGGGGAGTAGGAGGATAGCAAGCAGCTGGATGCGGCTTCGCGAAATTGTGACGTGTGCACCGCACAACTGCTTGCTGAAGCACAGCACCATGCAATTTAAGGTACAGTGAAGTTAACATTTCTTCCTTCCTGGATACATTCATGAGCAAAGATGCAGATATAATAAGGATACTACAAGGTGGGGTTGTAGCCGTAAAAATTTTTTGAAATATCCACCACTGCCCTATTTTGGAGAATAAGTTTCACCCATACATAGGAACCTCTGTTCCGAAAGTCCCGAATGTTTCTTATGATTAAATTGTGCCAAAAGGGAAAAACTGCTGCTGCGTCTTCCAATTATTCGCGCACATTGTCTGGTGCATTTTGCAATGTGCGAATAATATTACAAAATTCAGTGTATATGAATGCCCTAGTACTAATAGTTACACGAACATATGCAAATTATTCAGAGGTATTTTTCAACGATTTTGATTCAGATATACTTATCTCCCTCTTGATTGAGGGATTCTGGTATTTGCACATCCTTCCCTCTATACACAGCACTTTAGTTCGTATTTGCGTTATAGCTTATTAGGTATAGGTTTTCAATTTTCTTATTGTATGGCGTGCACTTACACACTTCGCCCCAATGACCCTCAGTTTTTGGAAGAGCATTTTTCTATCATCTTTTCTACAATATTTCTTCAGTATGAAAATTAGATCGTCACTTTTCCTCCAATATTCCCCGATTCTCTCCTACGTCCTTATTTCGTCGACCGCAGCTTACAGATGATGCTCTCTGGTTGAAGACATCAGATAAACGTGTTGGGGGTAACGAAATGAACCAAGTATTTTCTGCAGCGGTTTCTAGCACATTTGTATTTCTTTCACATGTAGAATTTGCAGGGATGTTCTTGTCGGAGTCAGAAAACCATCGGGAAGGTGCTCATGGCCTCGAAGGACCGCACTTCTGAGGATAGTCAAACCTGCTGCTGCTCTCAATGGAAGCGGTGCCCATCATTTCACCAGATGACCCTCCAGTGATAATTTATCAAACTAGTGGACGATATCCGTGCAGCCGTATTCACATGTCTGCTCCAGTACTCTCGCAGATTTCCAGCCCATGGGGTGATGGGGAGGAGTCTCTAACCAAGTTGACAAGGCAGCCAGAGATGTAGACTTCACCAGCTCCTACTGTCTGAGAAACTTGATTCAAAGCTTTATAATGCCATCAATAGCAGTCTCTGACCCGAAACGACAGTGTTCTTTTCGACGGTCCTTCTTGCAGAGATTAAATTAATTTCATGAAGGAATGTTAAATATGATGAGAGAAGCTTACAATTAGGACAACTGTGTAACTTCTGCTACGAGTCTAGTAGTCCGAATAAGCAAGCGAAGACAGCTCAGCTTCTGGAGAGAAGGTGTTGTTTTCACCGCTGCCGTTTTATTCTTTTTCATTTTTGTTCCGTTTTCTCAGTTTCAAACGGGGTGTCAATGGCCTTTGATACCCTGTTCGGAACAGAGAAAGTAGAACAAAATAAAGAGAAAGAAAGAGCAACAGAACTACAACTGAAAGCGACATTAACGTAGAGAGCACTGTCCCTTTCGGAACAGGAAGCGACAAGGCAATTCACATTCTCTGATGAATTTCCTACAGCACGCCCAGTCTATCACGACTACTCACTGATATCCCATTAAGGACTGCAGAAAAAGGTGGACTTGATTGTTTAGATTGACCCCCCCCCCCCCTTAATAAATTCAACAAAATGAGAAAGTAATCAACCTTCAGTAGTCAGTAACTTTGAAAATTTTCGGCTTTGAAACAAATGCAAAGAATTTCTTAAGAAACACATTTTCATTTTATTTTTGTTGAACTACATATTCTAGAAAACGAGTAAACTCTGAAGGCTCAGAGCTTGAAAAGTATTTAGGCCGTCAGTCATATTGTTCCATCTTCCTTTTTTCAAGGAGAATCTTGAATCTTGTAGCAATTCGTCTGAACTCTGCTTTAGGGATGGACCAGAAGACCACCAGTGGCTGTGTTATCGGCGTTCAGATCGTTTTACTACTACTTGGAAATGTAAAGGGTCTCATAAAAGAAGGAGAATTAGTCTCGGGTCGCCATCCCCAACTCGTCGGTGACGGTGACATGATCCACAACAGGTAGGCTCTTTTATGTAACAGTACAGGGAGAGGGCAATGAATAAAGACACTTCGCTCCTGAAGCGTATAATCAACATTCTTTCGCACAGGGTGGCTAGGTTCACAGCAGAAAACCCACGGAAGAATTCCTAGGTTGCCTCCTTAACCACCTCCTAAACCCCAAACAGGGTCAACGGCCTACGGTATTTGCTTCCAATGCCACTGCTCGAATTTTACGGTCGGTTCACCTTTATGCAGGTTCCTAGAGGCTGTATCTCCAAGGTTTAGCATTTTGGACATCGTCGCCGTAGCCCAAGGTTTATTTTTCATGGCTTGGCCTTCAACTTCAAGCGCCCTGGGGATCCAGGTACGTCAGTTTCATGAAATCTGAAGATGCACGGGTCGGACAAGTGGGAGAAGTGTCGCGTGTGCATTTTAGAATACGTAACCCGTCTTTCTGTTCAGAAGAAGCTTTTTGAGTATGCTTCGACGGCGTGGTGTCTTTGGCTCCCCTTCTGCATATACAGCGGCACTTAACTAGTATATGAGCCAATCTTCCAAACCTTGTCGTCGTTAGTTTCATACCGATTTTGGATAGCATTTGAGTTCAGGAAGCGACTGGAAGAAAGCACACTAGGCAGGAACGACCGCCATAAACGACAAGTGTATAAGCCAGCTGTTCTCTGGAAAGACAACACAAATCTTTTATGATTTTGAAGATAATATTGGTAATATATTTTTTGCTGCACGGAGAGAAATTTTCGTAGAGGATCCACATGCATGAAGTTTTCCAGACGAATACACTCGGAAGATTTTTAAAAAAGCAGTCGATCATATAAGCTCCCGTACATGCATTGATTTCCAAGAAGATCCAACAGCTGGAAACCGTATACATATCAAATATGATTATAAAAGGAACGGATGCTGGTCAGATATGGGAGTGCAAGGTGGTGTGCAGAACATGTGGTTGGGAAAAGGCTGCCTTCATGTAAGTTTTCTGATTACGGTATTGTTCCGAACCCTGCACTGATCTCAAATTTCCCAGCCTTATCACGTTGCAAACGTTTTTTTTTGGAGAGGCTGAAAAAGGTCAAGGGTAAAGATTTCAGTAGATCTGAACCCGAAAGATATAGTATGCGAGGCATATTGAGCGGCACCTCCACTTCGTTGAAAATCTAGCGATTCAATTCCATTTGATACCACCGCACGTGTGGTGATGGCACCGGTTACATCTGCACCACCTCCATACACTTAAAGGCTTATCTATTTCTCCGTTTTGAACAGTGACATACAGAATACGTGGCGGTGAAAACGAAATTCTTTAGCTGTGTGAAAAGAAAAGCTGAACGAAATCAACAGAATTCTATTGAAGATGGGTCCTATAATCCACGAAATGGTGCACACTCTTGGCATAGGTCACATGCACAATCGTGATGATCGAGACGACTACATTCAGTCGACTTTTCATCAATGACGGTAAGTTCTTTTCGTTTATAAGTGCATTTTTCGTTGCTACTTGTTTCGAGAAACGTTAACGTCAGTAACTGTGGAACATGCTTCCCCAGAGATAGAGCTAAAGGTCACATTTTGGTCCTGGATCGGCCCCGCCCAGGCCAACCAAGCCTTCCACCCTCCTAGGACGGTAATGTGATACTGGATTAGTTGAGGATAAAACACTGACTTGTACATCGGCTGGCCCCCGCAAGTCATTGTATAGGCCACATCGCATTCAATAAGCCACTACGATTCTGAATGGAAGTAGAATGCGTGCCGCATCCCACAAAGGGATTGATCAACGGCGAAAACTTTATCCTTATCCTATATGTATAGAACACATCTTCACCACGGATACAGTTAAAGGCTGGATTTTGGTTGAGTTCTGTGAATTGAGCACACTCATGTTGACATGCACCCAAGGGTGTGCTTCATGATTCGCAAAGCAGACTCTAATTAGCGCTTGTGCAAAGGAAGTACAAATAAAAGCAGGTACAAGCGAATAACTTGGGGAATTTCAGCTGAAAAATATTGAATAACGATCTAGTCTATATTCCTCAGCCAAAGGCAGAGTTCACGGAACCATCATTGTGTGTACGGGAAAGTTGTCTTCCCTCTTCTCTCCCTCTTGGGGTAGATGAGGAAAGTCCACAAACGAGATAATTTTAGATGACGCGAATTCGAGACAATAGTGATTTTTGCTGACAAATTTGCTTCCGGATG